ATTTTTTAAACCATATTAACAATTCTTCTACTCTTGGCACTACTACTCATATCTGCCTTCAACAACTCCAAAATAATTTTTGGTCCACTACTAATATTCTCCAACACCCCCATCCGATTGTTGATAGCCCCAACAAGCACACCTTCAAATATGACCTTGCTTTTGCATAATTTTTGTTGAACATAATACTACTCCATTGCTTCTCAAATTTACTTTGTTTAATACAATGATCAAGACATTTAATGAGATTAGCATGAAACTCATTATATTTAGATCCAATCTTAGAGGTCATATTAGATCTAATATTTTTTAGCATATGCCATATACAGAGACTATGCTTAGTATTATATTTATCAGTTAAAGCAAAATGGATAGCATTAGCTATTGAGAGATCATTATCTGTAAGAATAGTTTGAGATGCTGTATTAAAGATATAAATAAAGGCTTTGAAAAGCTACTCAAAACTTAAACAGGTTTCATTATGAAGCAGAGCACTAGCAGCACAGTAAAAAAGTCTATAATTTGTAACACCTGTGAATACACCAAATGGCATTGAAAAATAATTACACTTATATGTGTTATCATATACAATTGTGTCATGAAAGCGCATATATTGTTACTTTTGTGATAGATATGCCCAGATTACATGTTTTAACCAGTTATGTTGGTCTAACTCAAATTCAAAAGAAAACTCAGGATCATTTCAGCATTTTTGTTAAAAAAGAAGGAGAAAATCATGCATCTGAAATTTGCTACATGATATATGATCACTGCTAATTAAATTGTATACATTCTAGATTACCCAGTTCTTTGCAATTGGCCCATATTTTGTTATGAGCAGTGATTGAATTTGGGATATTGAAATGCTAGCTCTTTTTAAGAGCAATATTTCTTCCTTAATAGCAACTGGTATTTCACAATTATTAGGCAAGAAATACATAAGTTGAACCAGAATTAGTGAATAGTTGTGGCTGAGTTTGGCATGAGAAATATAGTATTTATCCTCATCTTGATTATAATTGAGATAGACAAACCACTTGCAACCACACTTTTTTGATTCAACATTTCTGCTTGCTTTGTTTGGGTTTTTATTTTTGGGTTTGAATTAACTATAATGATTACATATGAAAACTTGGGTATGACATATACCATTACTACGATTGTTGCCTTTATTGTAAATAACATTGAACCTACTTGTGACTGCATAGTGGTTGGCAACACACTTAAAAGCTTCAAGAGAAGGGTAAGCTTGGCCATTTTAAAAAATTAAAATTTTGGATTCTATTACATTTTCAGTATTTAAAATTTCAGGCTCTAATAGGCTTTCAGGTTCAGATTCTAATGTGCTTTTGGGTTCAGATCCTAATAGGCTTTTAGGTTCAGATTCTAATAGGCTTTCAGGTTCAGAGTTATGTGAGTCTTCACATTCTTTTGGGTTTTCATATTTTTGTATATCAGATTCATTACTAACAGATTGGCTTAGTACAATTTCTTTGAAAATATTAAAAACACTGTCAATTTTCCATATTAAAATCTCCAACTAGTTTTTCTAATACTGTACTATAATCTAGTTTAATTCTTGTTGATACTATAATATCAAGGTCATTATTTTTTTTTAAAGATTTATATAAACTGCACCATCCAGGTATAAGTAACCATTTATGTTTGTGGTCTACAAAGGGTTGTAGGATTTTTAATAAGTAGGTAATATATACATCTTAGATTTTGCCAACCAAATTTGCGTTATAAAAAACTTGTAAAATTTACTAACTTTATTCATAAGATAGAAGCGAATTCTCACGAAGTACAGTTCTTTGGAACCGATGAAAAAAAAAAACTTTGAAGTAATATTCATTCGATAATATCGTTTTAATGATGGATTCTATTGTATTAAATCTAGAGAAACAACTTGATAATAGTAGGTATTAGTAATATATAATATAGAAAGTAGATTTTAATATAGAAAATTAATAGCGTTTTTAATATTTTCAAAGAAATTGGACTAAGCCAATCTGTTAGTAATAAATCTGATACACAAAAATATGAAAACCCAAAAGAATGTGAAGACTCGCATGACTCTGAACCTGAAAGCCTATTAAGATCTGAACCTGAAAGTTTATTAGGATCTGAACCTGAAAACCCATTAGGATTTAAACTCGAAAGCCCATTAGAACCTGAACCTGAAAGCCCATTAGAGCCTGAAATTTTAAATACTGAAAATGTAATAGAATCTGAAATTTTAATTTTTCAAAATGGCCAAGCTTACCCTTCTCTCGAAGCCTTTAAGTGTGTTGCCAACCACTATGCACTCACAAGTGGGTTCAATGTTATTTACAATAAAGGCAACAATCGTAGTAATGGTATACGTCGCACCCAAGTTTTCATATGTGATCGTTATGGTCAATTCAAACCCAAAAATAAAAACCCAAACAAAGCAAGCAGAAATGTTGAATCAAAAAAGTGTGGTTGCGAGTGGTTCATCCGTTTCAATTATAATCAAGATGAGGATAAATACTATGTTTCTTATGCCAAACTCAGCCACAACCATTCACTAATTCCGGTTCAACTTATGCGTTTCTCATCTAATAATCGTGAAATACCAGTTGCTATTAAGGAAGAAATATTGCTCTTAAAAAGAGCTGGCATTTCAACATCCCAAATTCAATCACTGCTTATGACAAAATATAGGCCAATTGCAAAGAACTGGGTAATCCGGGATATATACAATTTAATTAGCAGTAACCGTATATCACGTAGTGAATTTTAGGTGCATAATTTTTTCCTTCTTCTCCAACAAAAACGCAGGAATGATCCTGAGTTTTCTTTTGAATTTGAGTTAGACCAACATAACTGGTTAAAACATGTAATCTGGGCATACCCATCACAAAAGTGACAATATATGTGCTTTTATGACACAATTATATATAATAACACATATAAGTGTGATTATTTTTCAATGCCATTTGGTATATTCACAGGTGTTACAAATCATGGACTTTCTTACTGTGCTACTGGTACTCTGCTTCATGACGAAACCTGTTTAAGTTTTGAGTAGCTTTTCGAAGCTTTCATTTGTATCTTTGGTACTGCACCCAAACTATTCTCACGGACAATGATCTCTCAATGGCTGATACTATCCGTTCTGCTTTAATTGATAAATATAACACTAAGCATGGTCTCTGTATATGGCATATGCTGAAAAATGTTAGATCTAATATGACTTCTAAGATTGGATCTAAATATGATGGGTTTCATGCTGATCTCATTAAATATCTTGATCATTGTATTAATCAAAGTGAATTTGAGGAGCAATGAAGTAGTATTATAGTCAACGAAAATTATGCAAAAGCAAGGTCATATTTAGAAGCTCTTAACCAGTGGCGTAAGAGGTGGGCCCCAGCTTATCTTAAAGATTTTTTTTTTACGGACATGACCTCAACACAAAGAGAGAAATCGATAAATAAATTGTTAAAAAGACCACATTCACAAATTTTCTAGCAGCTTTTGAGCAAGCACTCGAAGTTCGTGAGGAGGCGGAGCATATTTTTGTATATAAAGAGCTTGTTTATCTTTCTTGTTCAATATCTCAAAATCCTATCGAAAATCAAGCCACTAAATGTCTAACACGATATGCATAGAAAAAATTTGTAGCTGAATGGAGTGCTAAAGATACATACATGTGTGTAGAAACAGAGAAAAATAATGAATTGCATTGTTTTGAATTATCATGCTATGAAAGGCCTGATATATTGTATTGGATGTTCTATAATGGCTATATACTTACTTGTAGCTGCCGTAATCTTGAATTTGCTAGAATAATTTGCCGCCATTCTCTTGCAGTAGCAGTTCACCTTTCTCTTGCACAACTTGATCCATTTCACTTTCCAAAGTGTTGGCAAAAAGATCCATTTGAGCTGGAGCTTGCAAAAAATTATATTAATTTCTATAGCTATTCACAATCACAGGCCTCAGGCACCTTAATATCATATGAATCATCTAGTGAATGCGCTTCTCAGCTCTGATACATGCGTATCCATCGACTTTCAGGAGAAATAGCAAATAAGATTGCAACAGATCCTGATAAGTGTACAGATTTTATGTTATACCTTGAGAGGTACTTGAAATCTTTGTATAGTATTTTTGATTTAGAGCATCTAATAATCAACAACCCAATAAAGAGCAAGGCTATTGGGCGACCAAAAAAAAGAAGAATCGGATGTGAAAAAGAGAATATGTCCATTGCTGCTATAAAAAAGAAGCAAGAACGACCAAAAAAAACTCTTGAAAAAAGTCTGGCCAAAAACTAGATAAGAATGGGTATCTACAAAACATAATTGTAACAAGGTAAAATTTCTTAGCATTTAATTAGAATCTAGTTTAGCATTAATAAGTTAAACACTATATACTTACAGGTTTAAATAAACTTACAAGACCTTACAGATCTAGTGCAAAAAAGAACATACGTATAAGATGTATGATCAGAAAAAAAAAATAAATAAAAAAAATTTGCAAGCTTGTTAGTTCCTGGTTTATTAGTGTTTAGGTGGTGTGTCATTATATACAATTTATGTATATAATGCTCCTTAATTTTTGTAATATTTTAAACATTGCCCTTCTATCCTTGCCAATTAGCTGTTCCACATTTAGCATAACTAGTGTAATGTGACCAAGGACATTATACTGTAACATTGAGCGTGCTCAATGTTAATCGTGAAGATCTGATATTTGATATAATAAAAATATTAATTTTTACAATTAATTTGACTACACCAATTAGTTTCTATGAATACTTTTAACTGAGCTAATTTTATGTTCATCGACCAACATACAACAAATTGCAACAATTATAAACCTTTTGAAACCTGCGATTCATGAAGTTTTAATTATTGTAAGAATTGATAGATGCAAATTTTAACTTGTAAAGCACCTGATATGAAGTTCTGGCATCGCATATATTGTCACAATAATTTGTAAGTATAGGGACAGGATTCCAATTCAAAACTAACATAACTCTACCTAATCGCACTTGTTACCACAATAGTCTGTAAGTACAGGAAAAAAATTTTTTGCAATAAATCACTTGGAAATCACGATCATTTCAATATGTAACTAGTATAACTAACTAAATCACATATGTCACAACAATAGTTTGTAAGTACAAGAACAGAGTTTTTATTAAATTACTGCAAAAATAAGATCATTCCAATACAAAACTAACTCTATATAAATCACACTTGTTACCACAATGTCTAGTAACTTAAAATCATGATTATTCTAATATGAACTAACATAGCCATAACCAAATTACTTAGGTTATTACAATAATCAGTAAGTAGGAACAAAAATTTTACATTAAATTACTTGGAAATCATGATTGTTCCAGTACAAAGCTAATATAACCATAACTAAATCACATAGGTTGTCACAATGGTCTGTAAGTACAGGAACAGAATTGTTTATATTAATGTCACCACAATAGTCTGTAAGTACAGGAATCACTATAAAAAAAATCACGATCATTCCAATACAAAACTAACATAACTATCTAAATTACATGTTGTCACAATAGTCTGTAAGTACAAAATTTTTTTACTGTAAATCATTTGGAAATCATGATCATTCCAATACAAAACTAACATACTCTAAATCATGTTTGTCAACACAATAGTCTGTAAGTCCAGTAATAGAATTTTTTATACTTGGTCATTCCAATACAAAACTAACATACACTGTTTAAATCATATTTGTCACTACTAAAGTCTGTAAGTCCAGTAATAGAATTTTTTACAGTAAATCACTTGAAAATCACGATCATTTCAATATGAAATTAACATAACTCTATTTAAATCACATATGTCGCTACAATAGTCTGTAGATACAAACAGAATTTTTTTACATTAAATCACTTGGAAATCGCGATCATTCCAATACAAAACTAATATACTCTACCTAAATCACGTTTGTCACTACAATAGTCTGTAAGTCCAGTAATAGAATTCTTTATATTAAATCACTTAGTCATTCAAATACAAAACTAACATGCTCTTTTTAAATCACGTTTGTCACCACTATAGTCTGTAAGTCTAGCAATAGAATTTTTTACAGTAAATCACTTGAAAATCACAATCATTCCAATACAAAATTAACATAACTCTATCTAAATCACATATGTCGTTGCAATAGTCTGTAGGTACAAACAGAATTTTTTTACATTAAATCACTTGGAAATCGTGATCATTCCAATGCAAAACTAAACTCTACCTAAATCACATTTGTCACCACAATAGTCTGTAAGTCTAGTAATAGAATTCTTTACATTAAATCACTTGGTTATTCAAATACAAAACTAACATGCTCTTTTTAAATCACATTTGTCACCACTATAGTCTGTAAGTCCAGCAATAGAATTTTTTATAGTAAATCACTTGAAAATCACAATTATTCCAATACGAAATTAATATAGCTGTATCTAAATCATATATATATGTCGCTACAATAGTTTATAGATACAAACAGAATTTTTTTACATTAAATCACTTGGAAATCATGATCATTCTAATACAAAACTAATATACTCTACCTAAATCACGTTTGTCATCACAATAGTTTGTAAGTCCAATAATAGAATTCTTTACATTAAATCACTTGGTCATTCAAATACAAAACTAACATGCTCTTTTTAAATCACGTTTGTCACTACTATAGTCTGTAAGTCCAGCAATAGAATTTTTTACAGTAAATCACTTGAAAATTATGATCATTCCAATACAAAATTAATATAACTATATCTAAATCATGTATGTCGCCGCAATAGTCTGTAGGTACAAACAGAATTTTTTTATATTAAATCACTTGGAAATTATGATCATTCTAATGCAAAACTAATATACTCTACCTAAATCACATTTGTCACCACAATAGTCTGTAAGTCCAGTAATAGAATTCTTTACATTAAATCACTTGGTCATTCAAATACAAAACTAACATGCTCTTTTTAAATCACGTTTGTTACCACTATAGTCTGTAAGTCTAGCAATAGAATTTTTTACAGTAAATCACTTGAAAATCATGATCATTCTAATATGAAATTAACATAACTCTATCTAAATCACATATGTCGCCACAATAGTCTGTAGGTACAAACAGAATTTTTTTACATTAAATCACTTGAAAATCGTGATCATTCTAATGCAAAACTAATATACTCTACCTAAATTATATTTGTCACCACAATAGTCTGTAAGTCCAGTAATAAAATTCTTTATATTAAATCACTTGGTCATTCAAATACGAAACTAACATGCTCTTTTTAAATTATATTTGTCACCACTATAGTCTGTAAGTCTAGCAATAGAATTTTTTACAATAAATCACTTGAAAATCATGATCATTCCAATATGAAACTAACACAACCATATCTAAATTACATATGTTGCTGCAATAGTTTGTAAGTACAGAACCAGAATCTTTACATTAAATCACTTGAAAATTGTGATTATTCCAATGCAAAACTAACATACTCTATCTAAATCACGTTTGTCACCACAATAGTCTGTAAGGAGTTCGCCAGGGCGACCCCCAAAAGTCCGAATCAGTTGATCTGTGCCACAGCCATATATTAATAAGAGTATTACATATATACGTACGTACGTATATTGATTTGTTGTATTTAAGAAATTTTCACAGAGCTAAACAATTCGATAATTTTCTAAGAAATTATGCAGTGGCTATGGCGCGGATCACCTGATTCAAACTTTTGGGGTCGCTCTGGCGAACTTGTCTGGAAGTCTAGCAATAGGATTTTTTACATTAAATCACTTGGTCATTCCAATACAAACTAACATACTCTTTTTAAATCTTATTTGTTACCACTATAGTCTGTAAGTCCAGTAATAGAGTTTTTCACAGTAAATCACTTGAAAATCACGATTATTTAAATATGAAACTAATATAACTCTATCTAAATCACATATGTCGCCACAATAGTCTGTAAGTACAGAATTTTTTGCATTAAATTACTATAAAAATCACAATCATTACAATACAAAACTAACATACTCAATCTAAATCACATTTGTCACTACTATAGTCTGTAAGTTAATAATAGAATTTTTACAGTAAATCCCCTGGAAATCACGATTATTCCAATACGAAACTAACATAACTCTATCTAAATCACATATGTCACCACAATAGTTTGTAAGTACAGAAACAGAATTTTTACATTAAATCATCTGAAAATCATGATCATTCAGATACGAAACCAACATGACTCTAACTAAATCACATGCGCCACAATAGTCTATAGTATAAAAACAGAATTTTTACAGTAAATTGGTTAGAAATTATGGTCATTCCAATATGAACCTATCATAATCTAACTATGTTTGGTCCTTTGAACTTCGAATGGTTTTTATTTTCTTAATTTAGGTTTATTTTGTTTATATTGATTAGAGCATTAGATTTTAGTTTTTTAATAAAATTAATTGGTTAATAGTTATGTGTAAAACTCGTAAATCACGTGATTATATCCCGCGAGAGATGCCTAAAAGCACTCTTTGTACTGAGAATTCAGAATATATACGATTATATATAATAAGTTGCTATTTTCCCAATATTTATTGAATTTTTTAATCATAAATAAGCTAACTTTATGAATAAAGATATCTGAATGAGATCTTATTTTAAATATATGAGTATGAATATCCAAAATAGAGAGAAGCATATGATTAATTGTTAGATAAAAATTTGCTAATGCATTTAATATACCTATTTATAGTAAATAAAAATTTAAAATTATATACTGTGTATATAAAAAATTAAAGTTATATAAAGTTAACTTTTTATTTGTAATATACGAATTTAATTATTAAAAGTTTTTTT